AAAAAAATTAATTATGTAATATATAGATATAATTAATGACTTAAAGCTAATTGAATATACAGGGTACATAAAAATATTATTCCAGGGAAACAACGCTGTGATTTCAAATAACATCAACAACAAATTTTATATCAAATTAAAATGCGTCGAAAATCGGATTCACCAATATCAAATAACTTTTGTGAAGCAGTTCAAACTAAATCTCATTTAAAATAATGAATATAAAAAAAGTCATATCTATTTCTTAAGACTTGATGAACATAATTAAGAGTCAGTATGACAAATAATAGCATTTGTATGGCAAAAAGATGAAACGGATATGAACATAAAATAATTTCAAATAGTTCAATGCTTATTTCTATGTTTGACAAAATATATGAAATATGTTTTCTCAGAGATTCTTCATCAAAATAATTGTGTTCCATGTCTAACAGCCATTTTTTTAGCTTCATTTTTGATTATTGTTCCAATATTTCCAGGCCAGGTACCTAGTATTTTTTGGTATTCATCATTTTGAATGAGATCCAGTTTCAGCTTCTTTATGAAAGGAACTTTTCTCTGCTGATATGGCGTAAAATTTTGGGAATTCTCTGAATTTGATAGTGAAAAATTGCCCTAACGCTTACTATTCAGTATTGGTGAGTCCCGTTTTTGATGCACTTCAATTTGGTATAAAACTTTTGCTGATGTTATTTAAAATCAGAGCGTTACCTTCCTGAAAAAAATATTTTTACGCATTCTGTATAAGTGTTAGAGGAAGACAGCAAAGCGAATTGAGAAGACTGCTAAATAATAAACATTTATCAATTGATCGTCCACCAAAAGAAAAGTCGATAATTGAGATCGACTTCATATCTATCTCAATCGTCTCTAATATGTAGATCATATATGAGCTATGTGTGCATTGTTTAATAAACTTATTTCTGATTTTAGCTTCATTCTAATAAATTACTCACCACAACGAAATATGTGATTTGGTGTTGTGTGCGTAATACTGTTTGCCTGTTTTGTAGAATGATTTATTATTTTTTACCTTTGTAGCAAGGCAACTGTATTTATTTCTTACTATTCTTTACTTTGCATATTTTTCTTTCTTTCTTTTTTTCTTATTTTTTCTTATCTTTCTATATACTTGATCACGAACGGAGTTACACAAGATGTGCATAGAAAGTTGCACACAGCGAAACATGTGCATGAAACAATATGCTTGAGTGATTTGTATACAGTGAGTCTTGCACATGAAATAAAAACAAAACATATTTACACGTGAACATATATCGGAAAGAGAAAGGAAGTAGAAAAAAATTAAAAGTTGTTTTTTATTTTGAAACCCGTAATATGTTATATTCATATGTATAAACAAAAATCCTTGAAACAAAAAAATTCGATAGTTATTCTCATGTACAGTTGATATCAAGTTATTACAATCCTATATACTTATCTTTATATACTTCGAACTTTCTGCTCTTGAAAAATATCCACTTCAATGATATTAGGACATTAAAGCGATTGAATGCTTAATAATGACAGTATTTTATTTAGCAGATACGATCGATATACACTTCCTTATACATTAACACCTTAATATACTCAAGAAGATCTCTTTAGGGAAAGTACATAAATTACAAATAATCCAATGGAAATATTACAATATAAAGATCTAAAAAAGTTTTGCGAGTCTTTCAGCACAAGGATCGTATTGATGTTGATAGCTACTGATGTTTGTCGGTAGTTTCTGGTAGATCATAATTTTCTCTCGTGGAAAATGTAATGAAAGAGATGTGATCGTTGTAGGGGCTGATGCATTAAGAAATTCTTCTGAATAACAACACGCTCATACAGTTATTTGTGTTCAACAACAGACGAAGATCATATACAAAGCTAATGATGGAAATAAATAAATTCAAATGTTTCAAATTGATGAATTCTCACCGAAACAAAACATTATAACGTCTTTTTTGCAATGAATTCTTCAAGGTTTATATTGCCGATGACAATAATGTGTTAACTATCTATGTTTTCCTTCTATTACGTAATCGTGTCAATAAAATGGGTGAAAGAATAACATCAAATGACTGATTAATGTCTTTCATTTTTATGTATTTGAAGTTGGTAAGGAGAAAAATGTTTATATGGTAGAATCTAAGAGATGAGGGTATAAGTGCCAACAACCATATTCCTCCTATTCTACCTTCACTCATCCTCAATAGTCACAATTTTGCCGAAAAAAAGACTCTTTTGATAAAGCATCGATAACTCAAGTTCTCAGCATCACATGGTGCTGCAATATTAGAACCTCACAAATCAAGGGTGTGTGGATGTGGGTTATTCCTCTTCAATCACCCACACCCAGCATACCCACCCTGTTTCATTCCTATTGAAGATGATAGTAGTGAAAAGATAAAATATAAAACTGGATTAAACTTCTTGAGTTTTACTGTATTTTTTTTCTACTATTCAAGCAATAATTATTGTTTTCCTTTTTCAAAATGATGTGGCTCAAAAACTTTAAACAGCGTTTTGCTGATTGAGTTTGCTTGATTAACGTGTTCGATTTAAGCATGATAATTAAAATTCATTCATTCTAATGTCATACCATCATTAGAAAATTCTATTTTGTGGAACTCACATATGTTTTCGAAGAAAATAATAGTAACTGTAATTATTTAATCGAACTTTTCGTACTCTTCTCTTTACAGACTACAGAAAACAAGATTGATTGATAGATACTTGTAACAAGCTTATTTATAATTGAATCCAGTGCTTATAGTGAAATTAAGACAATGAAGCTAAACAAGACATATGGATTTTACATTTTAGGCCCAAATGGATGGGTTAACAAGCTCTTTTCTTCGTATTGCATGTAAAAATCATGAAATATATGAAATTATTTTACTTTTTTAGCCTTTCAGGTATTCGAAAGATTTGGCAATTTATAGATCGAATACTAGCATAGTTTTTTTCCTTTTGAGACCGTTAGAAATGTAAGACAACTCTGTCAATCAATGGAGCTATGTGATGCAATTGTAAGACTAGCTAGTGGCACATGTGGAATAAATCAAAATATATGTTGTTTGTTTTTTCGTCTTATGATTATTTTTGTATAATGGAAATATTTTTCATTCTCATCAGAAATTAATTAGATTTTACCAAATATAGACAAATGTGTTTAATCAGCTATAAAAAATTAAACATTTTTTTTCATTGCAGTGATAAAAATATTTGCTACTCTAGAAAATAAATGTAGAATATTTCTTGTTAAATTAATTAATATTCGTTTGATGTTTCAATAAGAGAGGTAAAATATTATTATTTATATACATATAAATGTAAATGAAGTAACATAAAGTATAAAAATCCAATAGTATCAATGATAAATTAATAAAAAAAAATCAGAAAATATGTATTTATAATGAATATCTTTGAACTATGTGGTGTCTTTATGAACAATTGAATAAAGAAATTCACTTAATATCAATCTTATAGGCTTGTATATCAAACTGAAATAATTATAACTATCATCATTTATTACTTCAATATTGTTTATATATTTAAGTAAGTCTTAATTAAAATTTTTGTATTTATTTAGATAATAAAAAGTAATAATATTAATATCATTTGTGAAAATTATCGATTCTCTTTAATTGAATCATTTGATTTAATGTACTATGTAGAATGACTATTCCAAATGATATTTATGAAACAAAAACAAATGAAGCGCTGCAATTTTCTTTTTGACATTTACTCATGCAAATAAACAAGAGAACAATGATTAATTATGCATAACTTTTGATGATGAAAGGAATCATGGTAGTGCACTGCATCAAACTCCGAAACTCGATTCATGTGAAGTCGCAGTCGGAATCAGAATGATTAACAAGAATGTTGTTGTGAGTTAAAGTTTCTTTTTATTTTGTCAAAACTTTTCATGTCATTTTTGAAAAATCATTAAACTAAAAGTAAATTCTATACGACATGGCCAAGCGTCATGGAATTTCATTTTTTTTTACATTGTGACATCTGTATTGATTGAATAAGCATAAAAACTTTAGTAGACGGGATTTTCTGAAAACTTCTTCAAGCATCTCGATCGAGGTTTCCCTTAAAAGGTTTTTTTTCGATCTATCTAGGGCACACTAAAAACTAGCTACTTTCATCTATATGGATGAAGGTGTTTCAAGAGGTTACTGTTCCATCTGGAAATGTGCACAGACTTTTTCCTTAGAATTTTGACATGTTTTACAGATACCTGTGACTTTTTTTAGTGCGTGATTTGTGTCGAAAATATTATGATAGTAAAGTTTGAACAAAATCACTCACTTAAACATCTATTTTCATATTTTATGATGAAAATAGCATGTTGTAATGTTTTTTCACAATGGAAATGAAAACATTCAATGGAAGAATCGCGATTTGAATACTTAACCACATTTTCAGAACTTTTTGTTCGTTTCGATTTGAGTCATATTTTAATAACTTACTTATAATTTGATTTAATATGTTGCTATTTGTTTAGAACAAAAATAGATTTTTATTAGCTACTGAAGTGATGTGTGAAACTCGCATTGTAATAGATCTTAGTATTATTTTTGAAAATTACACATATAGAGTCTGCTAGATATATTCATAAAATTAATGGGGACTCACTTCGCTAATTTGATCTTTTCAATTTCAGATATTATGCTGTGAGAACGTTCACTGTTATACAGAATAATAATAATAATAATGATAAATAATCTATCGAATGAAGTTGAAATACGTCCATCTTCGAAAACGATCGTATCAGCTGCACGTTCACATTTAATTCGTGTTATTCGAGAATTAAATTTATTTTCTGATAATCCATTTTGGTCATCAACATTAACTTCTACTGAACAAATTCGTAGTACTCAATTATTTTTGATATTAGTTTTAATATCACTTTTATCTGTTATTAGTTATGCTAGTTTATTTATTCGAACACATGATATAACTCTAAATAAATTTTCTATATCTGATTTCGAACAACTTCAGACACGTTATCCAACGACATTTAAAGCGATATGTACTAAAGTATCAATACCTTATAGAAAATTTTTGAATTTATCTGTTACATTTCATCAAGTATGTTCAAGTTCATTTATTCGAAGAAAATGGATTTCTTCTTTATATCTTGTCAATGCAACATCTCATAATATTTTGGATTTTCGTACATTTGCTTTTTCTCACTATCGTGTTCTTGGTTTACTATGTCAAGTAGCACGTCAAACTATTAAGGATAATTATCATGCATTTAATTCTACGAATTTAGTTGAACGTCGTACTTTTTCACGATCTCAATTTAATGATTTAACTGATGTTCTTGTTACTAATTTTCAAAAAAATCTTTTAGCTAAAGAAAGTCGAAATGTAAAAGTAATATCATCGTTGCTTGCAGAGAATTTGTTACTCTCAGCTTTACGTACAAATCATTATGCACATTCTGTACCTGGTTCCAAAATGTATATTACATATACTGGAGTTTATACAGAACAAAATGGAACAAACGAATCAAAATGTGATTGTAGATTAAGAAATAATCAATGTATATATCCAGCTGGTGCTTTTTATAATTGGACATTACCAGAATTAGGAAAACCAGCTAAAAATAATCCACCATCTCTATTTCAGGTAATCAAAGTTTCTTTTTCATTTTATTATTTCAAAGAATTATTGTTAGAAAAAGAGAAAAATTTATTTAAAGTTTTAAATTAAAAATGTCGATGTTTATGTAGAATAAAACACTATAAAAACATCTGCTATAATGATAATATCTATAAATCATGATCAGACTCAAACATTCTCTAATGATCTCTATTTATTTTATATGGACCATATTCAGAGGTGTCTACAATAAGCTTGTAATGATCTCATAGCGTATTTTACTCTTTATACTGATATCTAAGTTTGAACGAACTTTTTGCATTATTTCACATTTATGTCGATAGCTTGTATTGAATTTTTTTCGCCGACATCACTTTTATGCACTAAAATGTTATCTTAGTCCAATCGTTTATTGAAAAATATGATCTTAATATTCAACTTACTGGAAAAAGAAACAAAATATTGTTATATATTCTTTGTTAACTTTTTTTT